CTTATTTTATTTCCCTTTTCACGTTCACGTAGATTTAATCATGTTAAATTAACTAGAATCTAAATATCCTCTTAGCTCATATCTAATAAATTTGAGTTTTTCAACATGATGAGAGGCATGAATGGGTTGTAAAGTGACTACAGTTTGCACATTCAGAGCTGTAAACTGAATTTCAAGTTCACAGCCCTTTTTGGAAGTATTCCTTTCTACCTTTTATGATGCACCTAACTTACAGTGTATTCACCTTAACCTGGTGTTGGTACCTTCAGCACAGGAATTCAAGGACTTAATTGGGTCCTGGTGTGGCATTGTAGGATAATCACTGAACTACTAACCACAAGGTCAGTGGTTCAAACCCACCAGCCGATCCTAGGAAACCCTATATAGCACTGCTATGAGTCAGAAAGAGAAGACTGAATGGAGCTTTAGTACTTTAATTCCACAATGACATGTGTCCTTAAAAATGTTGACTTAGAGGAGCCTTGAAATAACTCAGGCAAGTCTCTTCTGCAGTTTTGGAAGCCTGGCCAGATGAAGGGCTTTGTGACACATGGAAGGAAAGAGTCTATATGAGAATCTATCTCAAGACACTATCTAGAAGAGTGATATCGTAAGAAAAGGACTAAGTATGTATAACTAAGCTTGTTAGATATTATCACAAATTGGAAAATAAAACTGCCAATAGGTTTTATTCTACATTTAGTACTTTGGCAATAACCATTTGTTTTCAAACTATTCTTCCCTGGTTAGGCCTTTGCTGGCAGGATAGTGTTTATGGTTTACAATAGGAACATTATACCCGCCAAGAGGAACATTATATTCACCCAGGAAGAATGCATAATCCCTTGATTAAATATCATTGCCTAATGTGCTACCTTTTCTTACAACTATAAGTGTGATAGTCTAATGTTTGTAGAATTAAAGAGACTCAGAATTAATAATAATAATAAAATACATGTATACCAGCATCAAAGAACTAGCAAACAAGCAAAAAGAGAGTACTAGATAGTTCCAATTTGCTCAAGTTCCTTCGGCTGAAATTCAATTTTAATATCTTATTTTTCCTCCAGTCCTAGCACAACTCATACGGCAAGGAGAAAAGTGTTTGACAGCGTTCCAAAAGCTCCCGCAATTCAAATGTGTTTTGTTGTTAAGCTGTGGTTTCACACACATAAAAATCCAGCTCGGGTTCTAAAATCAGTTCTCATACTTTTTGCTAAAGTTAGGTGGCTTTAGGTTTCTCTAAATGCCGCTAGAATTGTTTGGTTACTGAACACAGCAACTTACTAATAGCTGAAATATGGACCTCTAACTCTGGGCATTTCTAAAATTCGTGAGTCAGACAATGGTTTTCTCAGATCTTGAGGAGCTCTGGCCTGGAGGCAGAAGGCTGACCAGATGATTTT